CCCCCCCCCCTCTTTTTCCTCCCCCCCCCCCCCCCCCTCTCTCTCTCTCTCTCTCTCTTTTCCTCAAAATAAATCACAGACCACAACTATGAACCCCAGGTAGCACACGCCGATCTACCTGGAAAACTGATTGAAAGGCGAGCGTTAATTGCCCAGGAAGGGAGTCCAAGGTGTTAGTTCCATTATAATTACTCCTCATCCCAGATTCATTTTCAGGAAGATCACTGTTAACGGCTGCTGTTCTGTGTTTTAATGGTTAAGATCATCAACACCTTCGAGGTATAACAGCACTTTTTCAGCCTAACACCAGCAATAAATGCAAGTGCCGAGTTCATTAAATTATATGCTGTTATAATGTGGAATATCTTTTTTACACAGTTTTTTTTTTATCAAGCCCAGGGGCCCATTTCACAAGACCTTTAGACTGAAAGCATGTCTCAACTTTGGGAACAAAACTTACGTCTATTTTAAATTTGCAAAGATTCAAATATGAATCTGGAAATTACACCCCGAGATTCAGTGGGAATCAGTGGGAATAACCTGCAATCCCCAGACATATGCTGATAGTGGAGCTTAGCTTTCACTTATCTGTTAATCCCAGGGTGTTTTCTCTAAATTATCCCCTCAAATCTATAGGCTGTCCAAGATTGCATCATCCATAACATATATCAAAGCTGATAGGGGCACTTAGGGTGTGTTCACAATGAAAACATCATAAAGGCTAGTGTGCACTTACTCCACAGGGTCACTCGCTGAATGCAATCAGATTAACATGCTTTGTTCTGGCATTAAGTAGAACAGAGAAAAGTGTTTGATTATCCAAGCATGTAGAAAACAACAGGAGGTATGTTCATCTGTTAATCTGTCTGCATTCAACGAGAGTCCTAGACACCATTCCCATAGATTTTAGATTGTCGATCTATCCCTGTGGGGAGTCTCACTAGATTACTGTCAGCTTAGCCGGCTTTAGCGTCTGTCCCGCCTACTGAAAGCTGTAAGGGGGTAATGAACTATGGTGTGTGCTCGGCTGACTGCAATTTAGCGGAGGGAGTAAGGTCGATCTTAATCTAAATCTCTGGATCAATCTAAATCTCTGGGAATGCACCAACCACCCCTAGTGGAGTGAGTTTGATTTGCCTAGTACAACAGTTTTATTGTAAATGTACCCTTAGTTCTCAGTAATCTCTTAAACCATGACCATATTCTCTGACCCTCTAATATTTGTGGGATACCTATGAAAGGACCACCCATTATATATAGATAGCCCTACCTACAGCTTTGCTGTAACAGAATACCCCGCATATTTTGGGTTTTGACAAGTAAATAGTCCTAATGTTCCAATATCAAATCTAACCTTACACATTTTATTCACCTTGTCTGGAGGAAGAAAGAGGGACCACCCTGCCTAGTGAACATATGGTTTTAGTATCGAGGCCAATTTCTGATTTGGAGTTTTGATGGTTAAAAAAAAAAAGCATTTTTTCATATTGGATAGAACCAAATCTGATGATTACTAACTTTGACTGTTACTCATGTTATATCCAGTAGTGGACCATCCCATAAATAAATACCTCAGCTTATACTACAGCTAAATGTTGAAGATAATCTATCTCGGCTCAATGATTCTGATATGTTTTATGGTTTATCAGCCATTTTTTTTCATTTAGTGAACATTGATTATCTGATTACGATAATAATCTCCTAGCAGTAACCAGTGAATCTGACTTTGAAAAATTAAAAATAAAAATAAAATATTAAAAGAACCTGACAAATATTTCTGTTACACCTTTCAATCTGCTTTCAACAAGAAAACCCCATGACATATCACTGGCGATTGCATGTGTTTCCCTTCTAAGTTCAAAATCTATGGTAATCACATTCAACAGTGGGAGAAAAATTCCTGCTGAGTTGTTTATAGGAAATCAATGCGTTCTCAGAGGTCAGTGTGCCACGCTGAGGTTGATCACTTGTTAGTTATCTGTTTTTCATATTCTCAAAACGTTTCATCAAATGTAACTGGAGGCTCTGTGTGTGTGTGTGTGTGTGTGTGTGTGTGTGTGTGTGTGTGTGTGTGTGTGTGTGTGTGTGTGTGTGAGAGAGAGAGAGAGACAGAGAGAGAGGGAGATGCAAATCTAAAATTTTACATTAGGATATTTCCAAACATTTTCCAGGCATTACCGCCAAGACAGGAGGCAGAGAAAGGGAGAGAGGTGCTGAAGAAAATAAAGAATGAAATTTCACTCTTGCTTTGACAATGCAAAGTTAATCAACCCAGCACATGGCAGCAGCTTTCCCTCATATACACATATGCTGTTGGTCCTCTTGTTATTCGTGTCCACACATATGCTAAATAGCACCATCCCTCGCATTAAATATGCTGATGCTATGCAACACATGGTGGGACAAGCCACGCTGTATAAACTTCTGTCTCCATATGACATCTAATTTCCTATAACGGTACTTTTAACATTTAACAGTGGACACACAGATTGGTGCTCGATCAAATCAAATTGTGTGAATTTATAGAAAATTGTTATCCTGTGTTGACATATTCTGTGGAGAAATAAAACCTTTTTAAAAGAACAAAATGTGAATTTATGCAGTGAATCTTCCTCTATCACAGTTTGAAGAACCACCAACTCCATTCGAATATTGTGTACTTTGACATTAAGCACCATATAAACTTCTGTCTCCATGTTCTTATTACTGTGTATGTGTGTGCATACTAACAGTAGTAGTTTCAATTGAAAAAGGCCACAGGCCCATAGCAAATGCATCACAGAGTTACAGTTCAACATTTCACATCAGTTTTCTCTAGCATTCAAAGCACGATAAATCAACCACTACTACAACTACTACTACAAGCATGTGCGTGCACACGTGCATTAAAATTCACGCCTCAACCCGTACTTACTGCTGACAGAGGTTGACGAGGTCTTTATCTGTGGTGGTGGGGGTGAGGCCACGTATGTACAGGTTGGTTTTGCTTAAACTTTCCATTGAGTTGCTTCCTGTGGATTGGTTACTTGAGTTGGAGCTAGCTGATGGCATATTCTGTCGGTTATATGTCTGGAATGATACAAAAAAGTCGGAAGAGTTAATTTAAGCAGTTTTTTGCTTACAGATTCTTGGATGTGGCCGCATTCACGACAAGAGACTAACTAGTCCATGCATCAAATATGGCCGACTCACTTGAATGCTTGTTGGGTAATCCCCAAGGGAAATCTATTCAGCGTCTGTTAGAGGATTAGACGACAAGCTTTTAAGTGAGTTGCCATAACTGATCTACCGACTAAGTTAGTCCACTATTCTGAATACTGCCTCTGATAGAAATTTTGTTATCTGAGCCTGCTGAACCAAGTTTCAAGCACTTCATGTTGCGAAGAGCCTCAGAACTTCACCACTATAAATCACAGCCAAAAAGACCTATCAAGAAATAATGCCACCCCCCTCCCTCCCCTGCCCTTCCCCCCATGCAATTCTTCATATCCTGGCTCCACCAGTGTTGTTACTACACATCAGCCATGACATACCAATACCAATCTGCTATAGTCATTCAATGATACAGCAGCACTATTGAAATGCTGATAGCCATAAGGTTACATGTACATATGACGTAATGATGCAGATATATATATATATATACCATGATTCTCTGCACTGGTAATTCACAGTCGTCCCATCTGGATTCTGGACGGCAAGAACATTACGCTTTTTGCAATTTTATCTGTCTTGGTCTATATATAGATTAGTCAGTCAATAGTCTAATAGGGGAGAAACTAACTGAGAAAGCTTCAATACTCCAGCAGGCATCTGTATTATCGTGTATTGTCAAATATGGCCAAGTCCTCAGAGTTATGAGCCTGTTAAATAATAGCATATTAAGTAGAACTGAATCAATTACAGATTATAAGTAACTGTTGTCAGGAGTGATACATAATGCTTATTTGTGTGTGTATTTATGTCGATGAGAGAGAAAGAGAGAGAGAGAGAGAGAGAGAGAGAGAGAGAGAGATACCAGTATGCATATTCTGGTAAGCAGAATCATGCACTCTAACAAATGTGTCAAAAGTTCCCTATATCAAAAATATGAATACACACTATCACTCACTAACATAAAGAATTAAAAAAAATACACTAACAGACAGACAGTTCAAAGCAACAAAATCTCACAGGTCATTCATGTACCAGCCCTCCATCCTGTTTCTCAGCTTGTCAATATACTTAAGCCCAAAGTGAGGCCAATACATGTAATCACTGTCTGTCCTCAGAGTCCTTTCAGTGATAAGACCCATTCATACAGGCAAAAAAAAAAAAAAAAAAAAAAAAATTGTGACTTCTTTTTCAGACACCATCAGTCTATACAATATCACCGTGGTTGGCAGATCAGCAGCGAGCAAGCAGAAATAGACTTTAAGTTACTGAAGTAGACTCCTGCTGTGCATGTACCTATTTGAATACAATACCCAACCACTGGCATCAGAAAACAACAACTCCTCTTTTTTGGCTAAGTGTGAATGCACCAGCTGTCTGACTACTTCCCCCTCACACAAAATCTCTCCCTTTTCCACAGTCAGCACCAGCTAAACTGAGGCTCTAGTGTTAAATTAAACCACATGAATGAATTTCCATTCTTCCACACCGATTAACCCCACAATGACTATTGCCACAACACCAGCAATTATGGATGAATTATTGGGACTTGACCCTAAAAATGGGTACAGGTTAAAATAAAGATGAAGGGAAATCAGACCAATTTGGTGAGAATGTCACAAATTTGAGATAGATGGCAATGTGAAGGCCTGTTCACATCAGCTTTAACTTAGATCTGAGGCAGAAGTCACAAAGATACTTGGCATGGTGAAGGCATGATTTCATCGGGACTAACTTAGGCCTAAGGCAGCCTATGTGTAGTCAACAAAAAACCAGCAAGCTCGTCTGGGTAGAGTAGTGGGATAAGTGGGTGGGGTGGGTAGAGGGGGGTCCCACACACTGGTCATTCTCTATTCCAAGCCTGTGTGATTCCTGGCATGAATATGTTTGTCTCTATAGCAATTCCTCTCACATTTTATGTATTATATTTTGCATGAATTTCATCACTACAATAGTCTGTGTTACAGTATACATAATCCTATGTAAGTCACTATTTGACAGAGCTATACTGCCTGTGTAAACAAACAACATAGCGAAGCATGTTTCAATTTGTAAACACAAGACCTTGCTGTATTAATATCAATAAACATGAAATAAAATCTTTATTTATATTTCAATTTTTAAATGGTTTGGATTCATACACACACACACAAACACACAGTGCCCACGCCAAATGGAAACATGCCCACAAACACACCCAACTGTCCACTACGATAATCCATTTTGATTGTACTGTTATATTGATCACTGTGAATACTATCTTAATATTGCCTTAAACTGAACTTGGCAAATGGACACCTACCCAGCGAGTATATCCACAAAAAGCTGTGAGATAAAGTAATACCAGAGACTTAGGCCGCATTCACAACCAGTTAATACGCAGACTAACTAGTCCATGGATCAAATATGGTGGGCACTTGATAATGAATTTCCACCTATCAAGCCCATCACCCCAGCAGGGGCAGAATAATTCAAAATCTAGACACACTTTCGAGTGGGAGGCGCCATATTTGATCTGCAGACTAGTTAGTCCCTGAATCAACTGGTTCTGAAAGCACCTTGGATGAAGTATTTAGTTTCCTGGAACAGACAAGCTGGCATTCACTTGGATATATTGTAAATGTTTTCTGTGTTTGGCTTCACTTTCCATCCCCAAACACCTAAATCTCTGACGGTTAATAATTGACCTTTGATTTGTTTTCCTCTTTTTTATTAGGATTCCAAGATATAGTCCTAAATATAATATGGTCACCCTGAATTTCACAGTAAAGTAAATGACAATACAAATGTTTGCACCTTAAGTTTCAAAACTATAAAATAGGGCTTTACAACTACTGGAAAGTCATATTTAGTATTCAAAATGTAAGGTTTCTGTCAACTTATGCCCAAGAGCCAGAGTTTGGGAAATACTAAGTTTCCAAAATTTTCTAAAAATATGGCAGTACAGCTTAATATTTGAGAAAAAAGGTTTTTTTCAGTATCAGCAATGCAAGGATGCACTATCAACCAACTGATATATCAGATGCAGCAAGAGTTTGAGAAATGTCAAACAGATTTGGGTGAAAATGTGTTCACACACTGAGCAACTCAGGGTGATATAGGCAACAGGGGGAAGAGGGAGGGGGGGGAGAGCACTTGAATACAAATATCTTCTTCTCCTATCCATAGTCAGCCATCATAAGATCACCTGAATGACTCCACTAAACAAAGTGGTCAAACCACTGACCAACTCGGCCAGCCCCTTGCATCAAAGCAAGGCCATCAACGGTCAGCGAGTTTAGAAAGCCATTAACATCACAGACAAAGGTGTCCCATACATCTTGAGTTAATTGTGTGTCACTGGCAAAGGACATTGTCTTCTGCCATGCAATGGTGCAATCAAACTTCAAAAGGGTTTGGGCTTTTTTTGTTCTCGTGTGTTTCANGAGTTTGAGAAATGTCAAACAGATTTGGGTGAAAATGTGTTCACACACTGAGCAACTCAGGGTGATATAGGCAACAGGGGGAAGAGGGAGGGGGGGGGGAGAGCACTTGAATACAAATATCTTCTTCTCCTATCCATAGTCAGCCATCATAAGATCACCTGAATGACTCCACTAAACAAAGTGGTCAAACCACTGACCAACTCGGCCAGCCCCTTGCATCAAAGCAAGGCCATCAACGGTCAGCAAGTTTAGAAAGCCATTAACATCACAGACAAAGGTGTCCCATACATCTTGAGTTAATTGTGTGTCACTGGCATAGGACATTGTCTTCTGCCATGCAATGGTGCAATCAAACTTCAAAAGGGTTTGGGCTTTTTTTGTTCTTATGTGTTTCTCACAGGACAAAAACTGTTCTCATGTATATCAAAGGGGCTGCTCATGCTCAGATCTGACTCGACGAGAACTTGATTAAGCTGCGTTACTTGGACTAGCACAAGTCACTCTTAGGCCAGCATATTTCCTGTTTTACTTCTAACCATTAAAATACTTCCCAACTTCCACTAAGTCAACGATAACCTGGACAAATTGTGTGTATTTATTTTTTTCAGATGCAGATAATCATCTTTAGCAGCGAGTTTTTTAATTTTGAAGTTCCAAGGATAATCCTAAATTATACATAATGATAATAATAACTTTACAGAAAAATATTTACAGGCTGCAAATGGTTCAAATGAGGCTGCAAATATGGAATAATCATACATTTTACAACACAAGGACAATGCACCAGGTCAAGTAGATGACACTGAAACCAGTTTGACTGCTTGCGGAAAGGGTAATCATGACTGCAGACTTTTGAGAATGTGTCACAGAGAAGAGGTGACATGGTGACTAGCCTGGATTTGACCAAAAGTGGAATTTTCCCATAATTGTTGTTATAGAAGTCCAGTGTGCATATTCCTGCATGCGTGCGTGTGTGTACATCAGTATTACCATAAATTTAAATCCTATACTTTTCAAAAGTCACCCACTGTCAGACTCTCAAGTGTTAATATGACACCAATCTCTACCTCTCTACTATACCAAGGGATTAAGGACACTGACATGGAGCAAAGTTGCCCAAACCAGTTTGAACTTCAGTTCCAATCACTGCCTTTCTTTTAACGCCAGCCTTGGGACTGTTTACACAAGAAAACTTAAGACTGAAACTTTTGGGCCTTATTCAGCTGAATATAAACTTGCAGTTGTCCATTAAAATAGAGTACTCAATATCAAAGCCTAGAACATTTCCCAAATTCGAAATATTTCTCTTTAAAATACATTTTAGAGAATAACTGGATACTATTTGAGTAAAATAATCTAAAAATTTAAGTCCCTAACTTGAGACCAATTTTCAGTCAATAGTGCTTTAGTGAGACCAGCCCCCTGACACCTATCCCAGCCAGTGTAACCCTATGGCTGCTCCTGTCCTCTCTTCTCCTTCATATCTCATCA